TGACCAGGCAAAGAAGGGAAAAGTGCTCTACAGTTGTGTCAATATACGGGGCATGGAATGGGTATCAGGCAATCGGAAACACATTAGAGCTGACAATATTCTTTTCCCTCTGCAGCCAAACTAGACGACTCTCCTACTAACCAGTCCCCGCTCCTGACCATTATCATCACGGTCTCACTCATTGGGACTTTTGTGATCGCTGCAGTCATATGGCAAAGACTCCAGGCCTGTAGTAAGTACTATCGTGCGATCATCACCATCTCAATTCCTGCAAGCTCAAACTCTATCAGTCTGGTTCAGCATCTCTCTGAGGTTTTAGCCTAGTCTCTTCTCATTTTTGGAGCAAATCTATGGGAATTTTTGTGTCTCCTTTACTTGTCTTGGCAAGTTCTGTTTATTCACTGGACAGACATTTCTTGGGCACCTACTATGTGCCTGGCCCTCTACTAGGCACTGGAGATACAAAGATGAGAAATCACTGCCCTCAAGACACATTCTAGTTTAATCCTTTTATTTTTCCTCTAACTTGAGAGTATTTTCTTGGAGACACTGAGACTTGCTAACTAATTTGAAAACATTTCTTTCTTTCTTTTTTTTTTTGCTAAGGAAGATTAGCTTTAGGCTAACATCTGCTGCCAACCTTCCTCTTTTTGTATGTGAGCCACTGCCACAGTATGGCCACTGAGAGACCAGTGGTATAGGTCTGTACCCAGGAACCGAACCTGGGCCGCCAGAGCAGAGCACCCCAAACTTAACCACTAGACCACTGAGGCTGGCCCTAATTTGAAAAGATTTATGATGCAAACTGATATTCTAATTTTTGACTTAGAATTGGAGGAAAGGCAGAATGGTAAGATTTGGGGGTCAGGAATAATTTTTTTGGAGGAGGGTAAGATGCACTAATGAAGTTATGAAACTACACGGCCACAGGTGATTTGACCAATTCTCAATTCTTCAGAATACATGTTTGGAAGGAGTGGTTGAGGAAAGAAGAGATATCTAGGATATTTGTTCCTAGGAATTTAAATTTTTGGCCTTACACATATGCTACCCTCAATCTCTGTAATTAAATGAAGAGGAACTGCTAGTCCGGAGCGAAGGCCATAGTCACCAGGAAGGAACATCAACCTTTCTTGGAGTAGAAATCATGTACAATGAGCAAAGAAAATGGGAAGACCAACATCTGCTGATTTACCCAACATTCAGCACAAAAAACAGTCCAAGCTCAGGGAAGTCACTAGAGATTCTTTGCCCTGAACAACTCACCCCACAGGTAGGATGAAGAGGTCTGGTGGGATCAAGGATGTTTCTAATACAGACTGTCGAGCCTTACCCCTGTAGTTCAGGGTTTTTCATTCTTAGTACTATTGACATTTGGGGCCAAATAATTCTCTGTTTTAGGGTGCTGTTCTGTGCATTGTAGCATTGTTAGCAGCATCCCTGGCCTCTACTCGCTGTATGACAATAGCACCCTTGCCCCAGCCGTGACAACTGAAAATGTCTCCAATCACTGCAAATGTCCCCTGGGGCGGTGGGTGGGGGTGGTGGACAGGACTCACCCCCAGGTTGAGAACCACAGCTCTAGTTCTAAGCCAGTCTGAAGGCTTGCTGAAATATGTGGGCACAATTTAAGGGAAACTTATCTAAATTGTTATTGTTTGTGCTTATCTTCAAGGACCTGCTCCAAGAAGGAGGGAGAGGAGTAATGAGGGTAACATGGAAATGGAATGGCTCTCCTCTAACTCCAGCGGATCTGCAAAAGCATCAGGCTGAGTGGAACACCTGGAGGTAGCTGCCTTTAGCTCTTCTCTACCAATGTGGGGTAGATGAGATCTTGTGGATCACGAGGCACAGTGTTGCTTTCCTCTCAGTACCAAATTTAAGAGCTTTTACCTACTATGCCACTTCTTCAAAAACCTCATTCAGATTGCTCTAATGATTGGTATCTCTCTCCTTTCTCCCCACATACAATTTGCTTACTATAACCTCTTCCTTTGCTGTGCCATTCTGCCATCTTGAAACGTTCCCCTCTTGTCCGTCAATTCAGTGTCTTTCACTATCTATAAAACACTACCTTACTTTTAAGTTCATCTTGAAGTACTATTCCTGGGCTACCTCCTTATTCTGACCATTCCTTTTTCCCCAGATCCCTCAGTACTCATGGACATGGATTGGGATCACTTATGGGTCTCTCTGTACTCACTCAGGAACATTCTCATTGGTCTCTCGGCCAGTTACTAATAGTCACACTACCTATCCAATCACAGAGCCAAATTATTTCATAAAGAATTGCTTCTCCTTGTCATTTTCCCACTCAAAAACTCAGAAGAGACCCCAGTGCCTACAGAAAAACCTTCAAAACTTTTAGCTTTCCACAGTCTAGGTGATCACTTTAGTCTAAACATCCTCAGTTCTTTGCAATTGTTCTTCACATGGCAGTTTCCAGAAGGTTCAAGTGAACACACTAGATGTCAGTAAATGGTGTCCAAGACTTTAGATTTGACCTGACTGATTCTACGTACAATGGGATAAGTACTGTCTGGGGTCTGGAATGTTCTTTCTGTTAAGGGAGCCTAACACAGCATCAGCTTTTGTGAGTCACATGGTTAACTTATATCAATTTTGTGTTATCCTAAAACTCCCACTTCTTTTCATGTAAGAGAAACATTGGAACATTGGAATCCCAGAGACTGCTATCAGGTCCAGTGTGGTTTACAGCCTCCACAAGCAGCTCAGTTTTGACTTATAAAAGTCAGGGTGACACCAGCATGAGAAATGAGAGTCTGCAGAGTTACCTTTAAAAATAAAATGAAATGTAACACCTGAGACTTATATAACAGGCTATGTTTTACAAAAGTATCATTTCATTTTAGTCTTTTAAAAAATTTCTATGAGCAAGATCTTTCTATCTCTATTTTATGGGAGATAAACTCGAGGCTCCCAGAATGAGTGATTTCCCTAAGGCCAGACAGATAAGGAGCAAAATCAGGACTCAAACTGGACATCAGCTCAGGTCCCTCTCAGACACCAGAGCAGCCTACACATATTTTCCCCACAGCAGGCCCAATTTCCTTCCTGTTTTCTTTTCCTTTCAACGTCTTGCTCACTCTTCAGGATGCCTTTTCTGAGATGTCCCCCTCAGTTCTGCAATTACGTAGAATTTCCTGGACTTTCGTTCGATCTTAGAAGTTGTCTGCTCAGTTGGCTGAAACTTCATAATGAAGCCATGACTCCAGTCTTCTACATGAAGCCGTCTGTGGCCATCTTGTCCAGTTCAAACATTTCTGCCTCTGAAGTGCTACAGCAATGCTCTCTCCAGCACATCACATTCCACCCTGGGTTCATGTGTCATGTCTTATATTTGTTACCAATTGTGGGTTTACTGAGAAGAGCAGCCATGCCTGACACATCTTTGTTGGCCCCAGATATAGAAGAGTGTCTTGATCAATAATGTTTGGTTGTTTGGTCATAGCTGGTGCTTAATATTTGCCTGGTATTTCATGTAGTAAAGTGTCAGGCTTGTCCTCAATTCTCTCGAAATTTAGACTTCCCTTTATATTCTTTAGCCATCAAGATTAATAACTACAATGTTACCTCAAGTTGGGAATGTGCTTGTGATAAAAAATTTTAAATTTAAAAATGCTTTCCTCAGATCCAACATCCATCTGAGATTCTTCTTCTTGGAACTTCGTCAAATGGCCAGGATCATCCCACCTTGCCCTTCATGTATCTGTTCTCTAGAAGCCTCTTCACTTCAGTGGATTTGCAGAAAGTGACTAGAGGAATATGCTGGGCACAGAAGTAGCTCTGGTGACCTTGATCAAGGAATTTGGAAACAGAATTCTTTAGACCTGGAAGAGACATTAGAGAATACTAGTCTCATTAATGATAAGGATATCAAGGCCCTGGAAGGTGACCTGCATTGTAAAGGCCAAAGTCAGTACCCAGATTTCCTGGCTCTGGTGCTTTTTTTCCTCCATCAGTCTAGCCCTGTACTATTAACTGGGGTACATATGTGTATATATACACATCAGTCAAAGTGCTTCTGGAAACAGAATTTTCCAACATCAGGTCAACTTCAGATACTTGATCTGATGCAATACGGGAGAAAGATTTTATGTTGTTGTTATGTTTTGTTTATGTTGTTGAAAGCAATCCAATGTTACTGTGTGGCAAGTATGTTGGAATGTATACCTATATGAAGATAATGGAACTATTATTGGTGTTTAGCCAGTATTTCAGTTTTCATTGTGGTCTCTGTTGCTCTCCCAACTTCTCCATCAGGTTCAGGAGAAAGTAGAACTATGTGAGACTCATTTCCTCTGACATGTGAGACAAACGACTCACACACCTCAAAGCAGTAGGCAGGTTGGAGAGAGAGAGTTTGGTTTAAATAGTCACATTCTACTGGTTCATATTGGACTGATAATCTCCCTAAGTGGTTTTATGCTAGTTTAACCTTATTTGTAAAACATTTATGAGAAAGTTCTCATTTAAGATAAGATAGATTTTTATTGTGTAGGTACTAAAGAGTAAGCTGTCTTCAGAAGAAACTGATTGAGGTAATGAAAACAGCATTCTGTAGGGCTTCCTTAGATCCCTAATGTGGCTTTTCTTCCTTGGTACTTCTGGATCCTTCTGACATTAGCAGAGAATTGAAAACAAAGAAGTGACCCACTGCTGTTTCTCTGTTACTTACTCTTTCTCTGAAACTTCCTTCCACACTCACTGGCCCAGGAGTGGACGTAAGGTAAGCTGGGGTGATCAGACATTCTCATCTGAAAATTTGGAGTTGGACAGCAAAAGTTGACCAAGTTTCTCCAATGTGGCTGGATTTAAAACATCTAATTTTGGTAGCTATAAAAGGACCAGATTATGCTATATAGTCTAAGAACAGAAGTACACTTTTAAATGGTGTACCAGAACAAAATCACTGAAAATAAAGGTAGCAGACTGACAAGAACTTAAAGCAAAGAAACAAACAACAAAAAACACAGGAATTACTGCATTTAGTTAAGATTTATAATCCTCAGACATGATCAAAAGGAGACTTCAAGAAGTAATTAGCCACAAAATAGGGTAAACCTAACAGACAGCTTATTTATACTTTACATAAGTATATTAAGTTATTGCTTATTACATTTAATAAATGTGTCAGCACTGTTTTTTCAAAGAATTTTATTTTACTTTTATTGTTCTGATATTTGTGTGATATGAATAAAATTATTTTTAAAACGAACTATCTAATTTTATAACTTCTAGTTGAAGGATTTAATCTATATGTGGTTGTGAATAAAACAATAAACAGACTGTCAATTTGTCAGCAATTTATGAATGCGATAATTAAGAAAAACACACTTTATGCAGTGTGGTAATAACATGTAAATCATGGCGAAAATATATTGGTGCAGAGGTCTTATATCCTTGTAAGTAATATTTGTTGTTATCTAACGCCTGTGTGCCAGGGCACTGTGCTGCGCTTTACGTGCATCGTTTCATTAAATGCCCATTCTGAGGTAGATACTATTTCATTTGACAGATGAGAAAACTGAGTCTTAAAGTAAAGTGGCTTTGCTGTGGGTCATGTGGCTGCAAAGCCACATGGCCAGGATTTTAAGCCAGAGGTCTGCCTCCAGAGCCCATGGTTTTAGCCACTACACTACATGGCTTCACAAACCTTGCTCCTGTGGACAACAGTATTTTACAGTAGGAGCTAAGAGGTCTAATACAAAAACAAATCACTAGCAGTCATCGTCGTCATCCCATGTCGTTTCTGTCCCCCCCCGCCCCCGCCGCCCCCATCACAATCTTCAGCACAGCTTCCTTCTTAGGCAGTAAACTCCTGCAGTGTAGAAACTGTGTATCTATTCTAAGTAACTCTTCATACTACAGCGGAGATGCTTTGTCAGCAATACTGAGACAGGAAACAAAGCTGGGCTGCTTCTATAATCTTGCTTATCTACTTCCTTTTTGTTACATTTATATTTTACTTCAGATGGCGTGGGAATCATCTTTGATTTTTATTAAAACAAAACCAAACACTATTACACACTGAGGCCCATGCTGTTTCTAGGACCCCAGGGCACAAGAGTTTCACAGACTATTTCCCTTACCTGGTTCTTTCCTCCCCTCCTACGGGCTCCTAGAGTACCCTGTTAAAGGGCTACAAGAAAAAGAAAGAACCTGTAGAATTCAACTTTAATCTTTTGGGAAATTCTTAATTTCCTGTTGTAAAATCCAGGGAAAACAAATATATATTGATCAATCAATATAGATATAACGTCAAATATATAAACCAATCAATATAGATGTAAGTATGTATTTCAATTTAAGGATTAGTAAAGTTAGAGTACAACAGCCCAATTCTTGGTTAAAAAAAAAAAAAAAAGATAAGAGCAAGTCCCTGCCAGCACAGGTGCCAGCCCTTACATCTGTCAGCAGGCTGACCAAAGAGGAGTCCGACCACTGGCATTCAATGAACATGGCAACACAGCTCCCTTCAACTCTCCAAGGAGTTTCAAGTCAAGGAGGTTTTCAGTCCTTGTCTTGTTTATCTGTTGATGGAGGGTTTCTAGGAAGATTTAGCAGTGCTTCAATTTTCTCAGCATCATCCTTCGATTGATTTTTCTGTAAGCTGCTTTCAATTTCTTCAGGGAGGAGCTCAGTAAATTGTAGTCTGGCTTTCCTGTAATCACAGAATGAAAAGGATATATCAAGTATTGCTCCATTTCTTTAGTTCTTTGGTTTTTAAAAAAGATAGTATTTGTGTTATTCTCCCTGCAAGTTATGAGCAAACAGTGCTCCTTGCACTTCAGAGACAATTACTTCCTTCTCTCTCCTAACCTGTTCCAGTCACAAGCCAACTAAGATTCTCATGTGACCAAAATGGACACCGCCCTGGCAGCAGCTCTGAGTCAAAAGATATTCCCGAGTTCTCGCAGGGGGGACATGCAGTTGCTGAAGCAGCCTGAGCTAAGGTGTGAACCCCACAACTTAGCCGTCCTCTTGCCCTCAGGGCTGGGCAGATGTGACCCCCGCCACTCTGTTAAACCCTCTGTTAGAAGACCTTGTAGGAAACGCACAAAGGCTATGACCATGGTAACCTTGTTACAGAAAAGTCAGGCAGGACCACACTATAGAGGCATATTCACCAAGAGTGAAAATCTGATTTCCAAATAACGGATCAGTTCTTTTTCTAAATCAAATATTAGTGTCTTCCTTTCTTTGTATGATTAACAGGGTCGCCCATGACTTTCTTCTCAGGTCTTTCTGAGCAGATTGGACCATTTCTTCTCCATATCTCTACAGCCAGTTTTCTACAATTTCTGCTCACTAAGGCAATTTTTTAGACTCCCACTTTGTTTGATTTCCCTATGGTTATTTTCAAGCAAAGAAGCAGACATATAAAAGGTTCTTAACTATTTATTAAATTAACTCTCCTCAAAAATATCACATATATTCCATATAGATAACCTATACATTTTTGACACTACTTCCTCTGCCAGTGTTCTTTCAGTACTATAATTCAAGTTATTGTTTTTACCCATTATTGAGGTTTTCCATCTCTAAATAACTGACAACTTCTCTAGTTATTTTTTCTAGTTTCCTTTTTTTGGGGAATACAATTATTATTATTTATATTTTTCCAAATGTTAATTCTTCTATGTATCAGATTCAAATAACCAGTATACTTCCTTACCTTTCTAACTCCTTTCTCAAAGCTTCCTTTTTAAAAAAGAATTCTTTTATGACACCTAAAGAACTAGAATAAGCTAATGCTTTCATGCTTTTACTTCTTCATAATATCAAATTTTATGCTGGCATTCAGAATTTTAGGTGCTGTACCCTGGAACCTAGTCAATTGCATATCTCACCTACCCTCTTACTATGGAGAGGAGGAAGGAATGAAACAAACATATACTGAGCATTGTGATATGATTCTGCCCTTAGAGCAGCTAAGAAAACTGAGGGCTTGAAGTTAAGGAAAATATCTAAGGTCACGGAACTAATTAATAGTCTAGCTGGGATTTAAGCTTTGTTTTCATAGTTTCATTGGCTCCAAAAACAATGCTTTTTCTTCTATAGCACCTAAGTCTTTGGAAAACAGATCTATAGATACCAAGAATTTCTGTGTGTGTGTGTGTGTTTGGCATAAATAGAAGTTTCAAGTAAAAACAGAAGAAAAAAAAAAGACTGCTTCTGTATTCAACTACCAAAGCAGTAGCAACAGATGTCATCTTAGTGCCCAGGAAGCTGAACCATGAGAATCATTTGTACAAGGACTGCCAGATGGCAGCCTGTCATGTTGATCTTACAAAGAATCAGCACGAAGTCAGCTATCAGTGTGATAACTGTACCCCAGGGAATGACTAGATGGAATAAGTGAAAGCTTTCATCCTCCTCAGTGGCATCCAGTCCATGAACTCTATCTACATAATTCCTGTGTGTTCACAGCAAGAAGTAGAATCTTTGAATGTAGAGACTTAACATGCTCTCTGTTGTTCATAGATGTATGTGCAAACGGAGTATCAGCTTTTAAATAAAGCCTAGCAAAGCTCACTCACTGCTGTGCATTTCCTTTAGGTAATTCCTATATAGTCAAGAATATGAGAAAAGCAAAAAATATGCAACCGAATGAGATTTACATCTTAGCTTTTTAAAAACATGTATCTAAGGAAAGAACCTCATCAGATTAAAAATAAAATTAGTGTCTTTCATTTTTCCATTCTCCTTAATTAAAAAGATTAAAAGACCAGGTACGGTACAAGTTGAGGGACTCAGTACAAAGGAACTTTTCTTTGAATTGAGTGGCAGCTTAGAACACTCTCTAAGGCCTGCACTAGGAAAGTCAGACATGCTCATCATCACAGGCTCCTTACCACTCTTCCACTTTCAGCTCATGGAGTGCTTTCCGATCCTTCTGTTTTCTCTCCTGAACGGTCTCACCATAGTACTTCTGCAGTGCCATCATCAGACTTCCTACAGGAGTGCTGCGGAGGAAACAGAGGGAAAGCTTAGGAAGAAAGAACCCTGAGACACGCAACATGTAAGTGTCTCTTCTAAGGCTGAGCACCACCAGCTGAGCGCGTGTTCACTGATGGGTCCAGACACACAGGACAGTTAAAGCGTCCTTGTTGAATGAAGAAGAAAACAGGAAGGCAATTTCCTTTCTGGTCTGAACAACAGACAAAAACAATCACTGCAACTTCCTAAAATTACCTGGTATAAAAACAACGGGTCTATAAATTGGCTCTGTGTTTTTTTTATCATGAATGATAAATAAACTGGGAAGATATATATTTATGAAGTCCTAGAAGTAGCTTTATGCTGAAGGCTTCTCAGAAATCAAATTAGTACCAGCAATGGTACCAGATCACCCAGGGGGCAGGAACTGTGGAGGGTGTTTTTGGTTCGGGGAAGGATGCTACTGGCTTTTGGGGGTGGACCCACCAAAACATCCTAAAATGCAAAAGGCTGGCACAACAGTCTCACCTACAATGCCAATAGTTACACACTGAGAAACTGATTTAGATAATAATTACTACAGTGATGAAGAGTGTTTGATTCTTGCATCCTCAAAGAGAAGGAGTTTTTGACTCTGAAATAACTTAAATCCCCTCTGGCTACAACTTAAGTAACTTCATTTTAAAAATTATGTTTGCTAAGTGGAAATGTCCATCAATAGATGAGTAGATAGAGAAAATGTAGTATAAACAATGGAACATTGTGCAGCCTTAAGAAAGCAGATCCTGTCTCACGCTACAACATGAATGAATCTCAAGGACATTACGCTAAACAAAGTAAGCCAGTTACAAAAAGACAAATATTATATGATTCCACTCACATGAAGTATCTAAAGTAGTCACAATCATACAAACAGCAACCAGAAAGGTGACTGCCAAAGGCTTGGGGGGGAAGGGCAAGAATTAGTGTTTAACAAGAACACAGTTTCAGTTTTATTAGATGAGAAAGTTCTAGAGAGCTATTGCACAACAACATGAATATGCTAAACCGTACATTTAAAAATGGTTAAGATGGCAAACTTTGTTATGTGTTTTTTACCACAATGTAAAAAAATATTTTTGCTGCTAACTTCAACAATTTTCTCCTTCAAATAAAGCTGGTATATAAATAATAAAACAAAAATAATGTCAGCAATGGACTATGACATGCTGAATTTCTTTTTAAAAGTTTAATTAAAAAAAAGAATCCATAGTCTACAGTATTAACTCCTCCTGGAAAGAGGGTAGAAAAAGGGAGTGGGTAGATGGAGGGGAAGGGAGAACTCTTCTAGTCAGGTGAATTCCTGATAATAAATATAGAAGAAATGATACACTAGCCAATCAACGTTTTACAACCAGCTTTGTAATAACTGATTACAGCATGGATCATCAGGGGATCATTAAAACCACAAAAAAAAAGACAGCTGGAGAGCAGACTATTCACAGTCTCAGCCCACAGATTACTTATTAATCACAAGGGACAAAGATACCTTTGTAGTGGACAAATTTAGTCGATACCAAATATGGTAGGGAGCATTCTAAAATGACTCTGCAAACTTTCCTGCCCTAATCCCTCGACTATGAATATGATGAGCTATTATGCTCCTGATTATATCATGTTACATGGCAAAGCAGATTTTACAGATGTGACTAAGGTTTCTAATCAGTTGAATTGGAGTCAATCACAAAGGAGATTATCTGGGCGAACCCTTTAAAAGCAGAGAGTTTTCTCTGGCTGGTGGCAGAGTGACTGAGAGATTCAAAGTATGAAAAGGATTCAACACACTGGTTGCTGGTTTGACCCTGGGTGGGGGCCGGGGGGGGGGGGGGGGCGGTTGGGGCAAGGCACTGTGAGAAAGAAATGTGGATGCCTCCAGTCACAGAGCAATGCCTGGCTCACAGTGAGCCAGGACACAGGGACTTCAGACCTACAGCCAGAAGGATTCTGTCAACGACCTGAACGGTTTGGAAAACATTCTTTCCCAGAGCCTCCAGAGAAGAGCCTGCCTGGCCAACACCCTGATTTTTTTGGCTTTGTGAAACCCTGAGCAGAGAACCCATCCGAGCCTACCGGTCTCCTGACCTACAGAACAGTGATAGAATAAATGGGTGGGGTTTCAAGGTGCCAAGTTTGTGGTAATATGCTACACAGCAAGAAAAAACTGCACCAAATAATGAAAGTTAACATCACTTATAAACGGTGACATAATATGTTTCTTGATGTGATACACTGAGAAGGACACAACTTCACCTATGCTGTATTCCCAACGAAAACATTTAACCTAAATTGAATCATGAGGTGATAATCAAATAAAACCGAGAAATATTTGGGGGGAAAAGGCAGTGGAACTGTTCTAGTTTAAAGGACTCTAAAAGAGACATGACAACTAAATACAATATACAACTGGATCCTGGGTTAAAAAAAAAATATATATATATATACATATGGCATTACCGTAATAATTGAGGAATTCTGAATATGGACCCTATCTTAGACAGCTGTATTGGAGCAACGCTAAATTAGTTCCTGCGACCACTGCACTGTGCTATCACTGCAGCGTGTTCTTCATCCTCGGGATACACACTGATATATTCAGGGGTGAAGAATTATGAGGTCTCAAATGCTTTAACCAGGAAGGAAAAAGAAACACACACACATCCTACACATATACAGAGAGAGAGAAAACAAATATGGCAAATACTAACAAGGTGAGTCCAAGCAAAGGGTATAGAGGTATTCAATGCACTAATTTATTCAACTTTTCTGTGGGTTTGAAATTTCTCAAAGTAAAAAGTTGGAGAAGAAAATTTTAAAAATTTATTAAACTAAACAAACGAAATATAAACAAAATTTTTTTATAGAACGTGCTTTTAACTGTTTCTCATTCCTTGTTCCTGCTCCTTATATATAGCTCCTTTGTTCAAACTACAAATAGTTTCAGGTATTAGTGATATTTAAACAGTTTTTACCCAGTGCAAACAAAGTAAAATCAATAACTGAGGTAGAATTAGAATTGGACAGTCAAAGCTACTGCCAATACAAGACTAGAGACATTTGACAGGCTCTAAGGATTACATTTGCTCTCTAAAACTTCACTGATTTTTTTTCTTTTTTAAAGATTGGCACCTGAGCTAACATCTGTTGCCAATCTTTTTTTTTCTTCTTTCTTCTTCTTCTCCTCAAAGCCCCCCAGTACATAGTTGTATATTCTAGCTGTAGGTCTCTCTGGTTGTACTGTGTGGGACACCGCCTCAGCATGGTCTGAGCGGTGCCATGTCTGTGCCCAGGATCCGAACTGGCAAAACCCTGGGCCGCTGAAGCGGAGAGTGTGAACTTAACCCTTCGGCCATGGGGCGGCCCCTAAATTTGCTCTCTAGATGTGAATGAGATTTTTAAGAGGCAAGCCATTAATGAAAGTTGTGTTCATTTAGAATCAAACCACTGTAACACTTACCCTAGCAAGGCTCCAATTATGCCACCAGCCACCAGGCCACGCAGGCCTAAGTTTATTCTAAAAAGACTTCCTGTGACAGCTATTTAAAAACAAACAGAAAAGGCATTATTCTCATCTTTAAACACCTGAATTCCATTTTTTAATTTTCCTTCCACGAAAAGGACATAAACCCCTAAATAAGCTTTCTGAAACGAACATTAACATACCACCACAACCTAGATTTCCGGAATCTAAAATGCCAATACAGCTAGTTTCTCTTCCCCTTTGCAGGGTCAAAGCAAGAAACGCTCCCTTTACAAACCATTTCCTCCCTCTGGTCTATGGATCCAACCTCTTCTCATTCTGCTCGTTTTTTCCCACCTCTCCTTAAATATCTGTAATTTCTTCACTTCCTCTTTTTTCATTTCTTCCTTCTTCAAGGAAAGCTTTCTTCAAATAAACAACAAAACCCCCTGCAGCTTATGCCTTCCCCCAGCCTCACCCTTTCTGTCCTCCTCCACTTCACCTCTCAGGCAGGACTGCAAGCGGACATTTGGCCTACAACGCCACCTAGTGGCCAATGCCTGGGTCCTCCTCCTTCCCACTGGGATCGCACCTCGATGATGCCCATTCATTTTCCTTTTATACTATGCACAACACAACTAATGCCATCTCAGGTGGTAAAATTTTTTAAAAATAACATTTGAGTTTATATTTCTTATGTAAGTACTATATATTCATTTTTTAAGTTTTCTAAATTTTTAAATGAACAAAAATCACCTATAATTCCATTACCCAAAGACAGTAATAAATTTGGTCCTTTTTTCCTAGTCTTCTTTTCCAAACAAAATATTTTTTAAAAACAAAATATTTTTTTAAAACATATTAGAATAGCCAAAATCTTGAACACTGACAACACCAAACACTGGCAAGAATGTGGAGCAAAAGAAACTCTCCTTCACTGCTTGTGGGAATGAAAAATGGTACAGATATTTTGGAAGACAGTTTGGTGGTGTCTTACGAACCTAAACTCACTCTTACCATATGATGCAGCAATCACACTCCTTGGTATTTACGTAAAGGAGCTGAAAACTTATGTCCACACAAAAACCTAAACACAGATGTTTACTGCAGCTTTGTTCATAATTGTCAAAACTTGGAAGCAAACAATACATCCTTCAGCAGATGACGGATAAAGCATGGTACTTCCAGACAATAGAATATTATTCAGTGCTAAAAAGAAACGAGCCAGCCCTGGAGGTTTAGTGGTTAAGATGTGGCACTCTCACAGCAGTGGCCAGGGTTTGTTTTCCGGTCAGGGAACCACACCACCCATCTGTTGGTCGTCATTTGTGGTGGCTGAGTGTTGCTGTGATGCTTAGCTTTTTCTTGTAAGCTAACTTTGAATTCCTTGGATAAATTCCACTTGGTCATGGTATACAATCCTTATTTGTTGCTGGACTTGGTTTATTAATATTTTGTTAAGGATTTTTGTGTATGTACCCTTGAAATATAGTCCATCCATAGTTTTCTTTGCTCTCTTCCTCTGGCTTTGGTATCAGGATAATACTGGGCTACCAGAAGGAGTTGGGAAGTGTTCCCTCTTCCTCTATTTTATGGAAGAGTTAGTGAAAGAAACTTACCAAGTAGCCAGGGAAGCCATCTGGTCCCAGGTTTTTCTTTGCCAAAAGATTTGTTTTTTTGGTGAGGAAGACTGGCCCTGAGCTAATGTCCATTGCCAATCTTCCTCTTTTTGCTTGAGGAAGGTTGTCCCTGAGTTAACATCTGTGCCAATCTTCCTCTAGTTTGTATATGGGACACTGCCACAGCATGGCTTGATGAGCAATGTGTAGGTTCATGCCCGGGATCTGAACCCACAAACCCCAGGCCACCGAAGTGGAGTGTGTAAACTTAACCACTGTGCCACTGGGCTGGCCACAAAAGATTTTTAATAATTTAGTTTATTAACTTGTTATACGGCTACTTAAACTTTCTATTTCTTCTTGAGTAAATTTTGGAATTCTGTCCTTTTTTTTTCTTATTGGTTGGTCTTGCTAAAAAATCATCTACTTTGTTGATCTTTTAAAAGAACCAACTTTTGGGGCTGGCCCCATGGTGTAGTAGTTAAGTTGACGCACTCTGCTTTGGCAGCCTAGAGTTTGCCGATTTGGATCCCAGGCACAGACCTAGCACCACTCGTCAAGCCATGCTGTGGCAGGTGTCCCACATATAAAGTAGAGTAAGATGGGCACAGATGTTAGCTCACAGCCAATCTTCCCCAACAAAAAAAGAGGACTGGCGGCATATATTAGCTCAGGGCTAATCTTCCTCAAAAAACAAAACAAAACAAAAATAAAAGAATCAACTTTTTGTTTCATTAATTTTCTCTATTGTTTTTCTTTAAATTTCATTGAGTTTCACTCTAATTCTATTATTTCCTTCTATCTGCTTACTTTAGGTTTATTTTGCACTTCACCTTCTAGTTTTTAAAGGTGAAAGAAGTTTAGATTATTCATTTGAGATCTTTGTTCTTTTACTTACTTTTTCTTTTTCTTACTGTTTACATACAAATTTCCCTCTAAGTACTAATTTGGCTGATCTCATAAATTTTGATATAATGTGCTTTTATTTTCATTCAACTCAAAATAGTTCTAATTCACCTCTTTGGCCTATGGATTCTTTATAAATGTGTTGTTTAATTTCCAAATATTTGTGGATTTCCCCAAATTCTTCTTTTAAATTCCACTGTGGTCAGAGAACATACTTTGTATGATTTCAATCCTTTTAAATTTATTGAGACTAGTTTTACAGGCTTGCATATGGTTTAGCCTGTAGAATGTCTTACATGCACATGAAAAGAATGTATACTCTGCTTTTGTTGGGTGGAGAGCTCTAGAGATGTTAGTTAGGTCGCATAGGTTGATAATGTTGTTCGAGTCTTCTACGTCCTTGTTAATTTTCCCTATAGGTGTTCTATCCATTATTAAAAGTAGGTATTAAAGTCTCCAACCACTATTATTGAGTTGTCTATCTATCCTCTCAATTCAAACTGTTTGCTTCATGTATTTGGAGCTCTGGTGTTCGATGCATATATGTTTATAAATGTTATATCTTCTTGATGGATTGGCCTTTTAACCTTATAAAATGTCCTTCTTTGACTGTAGCACTTTTGTCTTAAAGTCATTATTATTTTTTTTTGAGGAAGATTGTCCCTGAGCTAACACCTGTGCCAATCTTCCTCTATTTTGTATGTGGGATGCCCAGCATGGCTTGATGAGTCATGTGTAGGTCCACGCCTGGGATCTAAACCCGTGAACCCCAGGCTGCTGAAGCAGAGAGCACAAACCTAACCACTACGCTACTGGGCTGGCCCCCTCAGTCTATTTGTCTGATACTCATATAGCCATTTGAAGTCTTTTTCTTACTGTTTGCATAGTATTATCTTTTCCATCTTTTTACTTCCAACATTTTTGTTTCTTTGAACTTAAAGTATATCTCTTGTAGATAGCATATAGTTGGATCTTTTTTTAACACAGTTGGACAATCTCTGCCTATTGACTTGAGCGCTTAATCCATTCATATTTAATGTTATTATGATATGGGTGGATTTAGGTTGACATTTTGCTATTCGTTTTCTATATATCTCACTTAGTTCCTTTTTGACCTTGTTACTACTTTTAAAAGTTACTTTCTTATTACTCGCTTTAGTGATTACATTATGCATCTTCACTTATCACATTCTACTGCAGATCAGTACTAATTTTATTCCACTAAAATGTAGAAACCTTGTTCCAATACAGCTCCACTCCTCTCCAATCTTTATGCTACTACTGTCATTTATGTTACGTATATATGTTAAAAAAACAAGAATATGACTATTATTTTATACAACCATACATATTTTAAAGAAGTTAAGGGGGAAAACAGTTAAGAAAAGAAAGAAGAAACAATAAATGTACAAGGTCTTTTATATTAACCTATATATTTACCATTCCTACTAATTTTCATTTCTTCCTGTAGAGTCAAGCTACTATTTAGTATCATTTGCTTGCTCCACCATACCTCTATTCCTTCCCTCTGTTTTGTGCTTTTAATGTTATATGTAGCTTTAGTTATATGCCCAACACTTCAATTTTCTTATTTTATGTAACTGTCTTTTAGATCATTAAGAGAAGAAAATATTTATACTGGTTTTAATAATGACTTACATAATTATCTTTATCAATGCTCTTTAATTCTTCATGTAGATTCAAGTTACCATCTGGGATCACTTCCTTTCAGCCTGAAGAACTTCCTTTAGTATTTTTGTAAGGCAGGTCTGCTAGCAACAAATCCTCTTTATTTGCCAATGTCTTTACTTTTGCCTTCAAATCTGAAGGAAGGTTTAGTAGATATAGAATTCTTGATTGACAGCTTATTCTTTTTAGCACTTTGAACGTCATTCTACTGCCTTCTGGCTTCCATCATTCTGATGAGAAGTCAGCTGTGAACTTATTAGGTGTTCCTTGTATGAGTTGTTTTTTTCTTGCTGCTTTCAAGATTTCTCTTTGTCTTTCAACAATGTAGCTATTATATGTCTAGGTGTGAACCTCTTCATGTTGTTGTTCTTGGAGTTTTTTGAGCTTCTTGGATGTGTGGATTGTTTTTCATCAAATGTGGGAAGTTTTTGGCCATTATTTCTTAAAATATTTTTTCTGCCCCTTTCTCTTTCCTCTCCATCCAGTAGTCCCATCATACATATGTTGCTATGCTTAATGGTGTCCCACAGATCTCTGAGGCTCTGTTCATTTTTCTTAACTTTTAATATTCTGTCCTTCACAAGAGACAATCTTACTGACGTATCTTCAAGTTCATTGATTCTCTCTCAAATCTGCTTTGGAGCTCCTCACGTCCAGTGAATTTTTAATTTCCATTATTATATTTATCGACTCAAATTTTAATTTGATTCTTTTTTATAATGTCTATTTATACTGATATTTTCTACTTGATGAGTCATTGTCATCATGCTTTAACTCTTTAAAAATGGTTTGAAATCTTTGTCTGCCATGTCCAGCAGAATGGGCCTTGTCAGAGACATTCCAAATGATTGCTTTCTGTATCCCATCTTGTGATTTTTTGTTGTTGTTGCAAACTGGACATTTTAGGTAATAAATTATAGCAACTCTGGAATTAGAACACCCCTACCCAGGATCATGGATGTGGTCCTCTGTTTCTGCAGTGACTTGCCTAGACCAATTTTGTGGAGTCTTTTTTTCTGTAGAGTGTAGCCACTGATGTCTCTGCTCAGTTTTTATTTTTATGTCTGGCTTCGCAGGAATCACATCAGCTTAGGAGTCAGCCAATGATCTGTCAGTGGCTCTGCTTAATCCAGTAAGGCTTCCACCCTCTGCCAATGGATCTGTTTGTGGCTTGAGGAATGCATTCAAAGTTTAAGCAGTTTATAACTCTTTTCTGGCTTTTACTTTCTGTGTTCATAAGGCCTCACAATTAACCAATAATAAGTAGCTTGCTAGGGCCTTCACCAGTCTTTCCTAAGTGTGCATACTTATACAAGCAGGCCACTTTCCAGAGTTCTGGGGACAAGTAGGATCTTGTTAAAGCCCTCTTTGGCTGTCTTGGTCCCTGAATATCCCTGTTAAGATTCTGCCTCATCTGCCAGTCTGTTGCTTGCCCCAAATGGTATCAAAATCCCAGGTTAGCTGTGTGATATTGTCCTTCCCTGACTGTTTGAAATTGTTTTCAGCAACATCCCTAGACATGGAAGTTTCTGTGTTCTGTTCCAAATAAAGTCAGCCACCCCAAGCAGCAGAACTGCTGGTCCTCCCAGCCTGCCTTGACCTTGTGGAACTTCTGCACCATGCAACTGGGAGTAAGGAAGTAGAAGCAGCCCCTGGCTGAATCACTACAGATTCCCACTATTCTTACTGAGATGCAGTAGAAATTGTTGGATAGATGCTGCTCAAGTTGTTGTGTGCCCTTGGTCAATTGACAGCATCTTTAAACGGTTGCTTTTGATAATTTTGTGCAGTTTTATCATTGTTTTTTGGGGACAGGATTTGCCAAGCTCCTCACGTAGCCATCCCAAATGTCAAATTTTCTTTTATAAATGTCCATACCAATGCCAAATAATAATGGTGAGGGGAGACAGCCTTGCCCTGATTCTGACTTCAGGGGAAATTACTTTTGTATTCACCATTAAGTTCAATGTTGGTTGCTGCTTTGAGATATAAATTTATATTGTATCAGACATATTTTGCTATTCTTATTTTACTAATTTTTATGTTTGATCAAGAAACATTTATTCTACTCTACTAATGCCAAACAATTGTGATATAAAAGGCAAACACTTTCTCTGAATTCAAGTAAGTCATTTAGTAGAGAAGCAAAACAAATAAACAGCTACAATATAGCATTATAAGTGCTTTAATACAACTATTTATAGTGAATTATGGGAACACAGGGGAAAGACACCTAAACAGATCTAAAGATAGGAAAATGGGGGCTAGGGAGGACTCTCCAGGGAAGCTGAAGCTAACAGATGAGCCAAACCTTGAAAGACAGGTTAAGCAGGAGCTGAAAAAACTTAGTTTTGGGAGTGAGATGGGTTCAAGAACAGGGACCAATATATGTAAAGCAAGAATATGCTGGGTTTGGGGAATCCAAGTCTATTCATAAGGGTGGAGCAAGAGTGCTGCATGGGGGCCAGGTCAAGAATCGACATTAGTCATAGGAAACTACAGAAGAATTTCAAACAGAAAAGTACTATAATCATATTCATATTTCAAAAAAGTAACTAAGACAACTCTGAAGGTGGAAGAAACCAAGATTATAAACAGGGAAAATAATCTGACAATAGCAGGTAAGAGAGTCCATATATATTTAAGGAAAATAACCGATAGGATTAGAAGTTTGGAAAGAGCAGGACAAACGGCAGGAACATATCAATCTTTGGTTTCCAGTTTTGGAATTTAACAGGGTAGATGAGAGAGAACATAACAGCAGGAGCAAGTATGGAAGTGGGGGGAGGAAGACAAGAGTTTGGTTTGGGTATAGGTATGTGAGCCTACAGAATAACCATATAAAAATGTTTGCAAATTTAACAAGGGTAAGTTCTAGCCGCTTCAATGCTATTAATGTCTATTTCTGGGTTTGTATTTTAAAATGTTTTCATTAAAATGTTAAGTTCAAAGTATGTATATGTGTGTTTGCCCGTGTGAGTATACATATACATGGAGTAAGTACACCCCAAAGAAAGATAGCACAGGTGATAAAGCAAGTGGGCTAAAACGTTAACAAGAGCTGAATCTCCGTATGTAAAGGGTATATGACGTTCTTTGTATTACTTTTAATTTTGCAACTTTTTGTAAGCTTGAAATTATTTCTAAATAAAAAGTAAAAAATAAGTTACATGTTGCGTATGTGTGTCTTTTTGTAGGTGAGAAAATGTACATGAGTTAGTGAGCGTCTGAGTGTATATGGCAGTTAACGTCATTTAGGTTTCTGGAAATAATACTTCAATATTTTTTTTAAAAAATGTTCGTTTTAAAGAGAGCATATCTACCAGAGGCAGAGATCTTTAAAATAAAATCCAAACACTTTCCATGAAACATCTGTCCCCTTTCTACTTCACCTCAGCAATCTCATGTCGAGCCGCTCTTCCTCTCACTCACTATGTTCCAGCCATATTATCCTGCTTTTGAGGAACTTTCCTGCCTTAGAGCCTTCACCCTGGGTGGTCCCTCTGCCTAGGCTACTCTCTTTGCAAGGCCTGCCCCTTTCCATTCTTCAGGTCACTTCCTCAGAAAGGCCTTCTCTGATCACCCTGTCCACAAGAGATCTCACTGCTCCACCTACTTGTTACTTTGTCTCATGGCAACCTATTTTTTCCCATCCATGTTAGATTGAAAAACTCCACAAAAACAAAGACCTTTTTCTGTCTTGTTCACCAAGCATACCAAGGGCAAAGCACAATGCTCTCCCATTTTTGCATGCATGTTGAACAAGATGTGATGAGAAGCCAACCAAAGAATTCAGTAGCTCTGATTCATAAGTCCTTACATGTTTCTTAAGCCATATTTGACAAGACTGAAAAACGTAAACAAGAATAAACAAAAAATCTCTTACCTCCTGCAACGACAAAATGGCTCAGGGCATTTTTATCCCGGTACACATTTAGACCAGTGTTCACCGTGCTAAGAAGGGAGAAGGAAAAGAAAATTTAAAACATCTCCCACTTACCTTCTTGATTGTAATTTTCACTAAAGTGGTCAGTATTAGTTTATAAGAGCCTACTATGTCAATCCTTGATCCTAGTCTAGGCTCCCCCACCGTGTTCCAGACTACTAATATGCCTATGGACTTTCTAGGGTAGAACTTCTCCTGCTGAAGAATGGACCAAAAAACAACCAAATTTCTGGAATAAATATTCACTTAGAAATAGAAATAGAAAGAAGAGTTTTGTAGAATTTCTCTTACTTAGAAACCTTGTATCTATTTTGATACTAGTTGGTAGACATCTATCCATGGATCCAAAACTACAACTGGACCAATTTTTTACAAAGATAGATAAGAGTTCTCGAGAAAAATTTATTATGAATCACTTTCATGTGGGTGTTTAGTTTTTACAATCCCACATGCTCGAAAGATGTGCTCCTAAAAGAATACCAAGACCCTCTGCCCAAGTTCCAACAGAACTTACTTGAATATAGTCACAAACACTGTGGTTCTCCAACTCCAGCGCCAGCCATACCGGATGAAGCCTCGCACAGCAGCACGATGTGCAGATTGCTAAAGTTAATAAAAAGGCTGTGAGGTTCCCAGACACCTTGACCTTTTCCTTATTCTCAAACTGTGGTGGAGGGATGTCAGCTATGGATTAGGCAGGGATACCTGAACAGATAGGAACAATGCAAGATCTCTAGAGATACCATTCTTTAAGGACTGAAGCTTAAGCAAAAGCCCCATGTGCATCTATTCTATCAACAGACAGAAAAGGAAAGAAGAACTGCTGGTATTGACCAAGTAATCCATCAATTAAGTACCAGCTGTGAATCTATGTGGCAAATACCATGACAGATATAAAGTCAGGACTAGGCATGCTTTTTATATTCAAAAATTCTTGAGGAAAAGAAAAATATAAAATAAAAAAGCACTGAGTAAATGGTAAATTAGAGGGTAAGGATTAAAGTAACACAGATGTGCAGGAAAGGAGCAAAGGAAGAAGAAAGAACTAATATTTACTGACCATCTTCTATGTAAAAGTTGGGTTATATTACCTCATTTAATCTTCACATTTTCTTCAGGTAGGTGTTTTAGTTTTAATTAAAGCATAGAGAGGAAGTTTCTAACCAAGACCACTCAATCAACAAGGAATAAAGTCAGAATTGCAAGGTATGTTGTCTCCACAGCCCATTTTCACTAGGCTACCATGGAGCAAGTCTGGATTTTTAAAGAATCTGAGGGAATCCCTAAGTGGATCCTTAAATACTGTATGATACTGGGCAAATCAAAATGTCACTGACGGGTATCAGCATGGACTCATGGCTTTTAATAAACAGGTAGATAAATCCAGAAATAGATATAGAGGTGTGTATGAATGTGTATATAAATCTCACACACACACACATTTCCAAACTCTGTCTGCCTCAGGCCTAGAAGCCATGACACCCCAGTAGCAATGAGCATACCAACCACCAGATTTTGGTTTTTAAAGACCTTCTTCCACTAAAAGAAATTAAAGCTCCTTGGTGAAATGGCAAATTCCAGGGCTGGTGCTGGAAAAGTAAAAGATGAGCCATGAATATCTTGCTGTGCCAAAAAGTAAAGATGTGCTCAGAGAATGATGGGGACATATCAAAAAGGAGCTAGCTTGGGGGCTGGCCCCGTGGCCGAGTGGTTAAGTTCGCGCGCTCCGCTGCAGGCGGCCCAGTGTTTCGTCGGTTCGAATCCTGGGCGCGGAGATGGCACTGCTCGTCAGACCACGCTGAGGCAGCGTCCCACATGCCACAACTAGAGGAACCCACAACGAAGAATGCACAACTATGTACCGGGGGGCTTTGGGGAGAAAAAGGAAAAAATAAATCTTAAAAAAAAAAAAAAAAAAAAAGGAGCTAGCTTGAAGGGGCTCCAACTGTCCAAATCTAGGCCAATGTGGGCATCAAGATAAATGATGATAAACTTACAGAATAAAATAAGAATCCATGAATCCATACCAATAAAAATAAATTATAAAAAGACAAATAAATAAATAGAGCCGAAGAGAAAGCCCTTCCTTATAGCAGAATACTAACCAATAAATGTAGGAACAATGGAACTAGAAAATGGCCATTTGGCAAGCACCATAGTAATAAATGTTTCAGGCAAGAATCATCATTAAATGCTAAAACAGGAGGGTAGAAATTTGATGAAAAACAGGATATTTACATAGTCTCAAAGTATCTAATAAGTATCCATAAGAAATTTATTAATTACAAAGGAAAAAAATAGTAATTTTACAGTAGATAGGCCTGGCAGAGACCATCTTAATCAAGTGACTAAAGTAAACATCACCAGTAAAGAGACAAATTGATAGCACGTGCTTCAGATATAATGTGCTGGGAAGGAAACAGCAATTTTAGGGTATTCCAGCTAAAACACATAGCCAGAATCTAATCACAAGAAAACATCAAACAAATCCAAATTGAGGGACAGGCTACAAAATAAATGGCCCACAGTCTTCAAAATGTCAAGGTCATGAAAGTCAAAGAAAGACAGAGAAACTTCCAGATTAAAGAACACTAAAGAGACATGACAGGCAAGTTCAACATCTGATCTCGTGTTAGATCCTGGACCAGAAAAAAAAATGTCTTATTATTTATTTACTTTTAAAATTAATTACATTAGTGGGACAAATAGCAAAATTTACATGAAGTCCGTAGATAAGATAATAATACTACATCAGGGTTAATTTCCTAATCTGGATAATTATACTACGGTTATGTAAGACGGTGTCCTTGTTTACGGGAAATACATGCTGAAATATGCACCATGTCTATAACTTACTCTCAAGCAGTTCACAAAAAAATAATAGTATGCATTATACAGAGAATGATAAAGCAAATGTGGTACAGTGTTAACACTTGGAGAATCTGGGTGAAAGGCATATAGGAATTCTTTGTACTAGTTTTGCAACTTTAAGTCTGACATAATTTTTTTAAAACTGCACAAAACAAAAAAACTCTCCGAGCTGTAACTTCCTCACTAATACAACAGAATTGATGTACAGATCTAAGACATACCACATGAGTTAGCACTCTATCAACTGTAAAGCTATAGTTATATATGTTAATTATTGTTCAGTGTGAGCTAATGTATGTACGCCATGGAGGCTTTGTCAATGAGGTAGCTATGCTACAGCTGAGCCTTGACGGTTTAGCAGATTAGAAATATATTTCAGAAAGTCGAGACATCGTGCTGATCCCTTCTGAAGATAGGAAAAGTGGTCCGATAGGCCATGTGTGTGCACTTTAGCATCAGTAGTTCCATTGTTATTAAGTACAGACTTTGTTTCTTTACTCTGACATCCTAAACCCTCCCAACCCCACCAAGAACCGAATGATTAAGTGTAAAGTGAATTGCTAAACTGGTGTGCCCCCAGATCCTATGAGAACGCCAGTACATACCACAGCATCAAACTGGTTATGATAAATTTCTGCTTGGCTCTGCTCAATGTAGCGCTGTTTAGCATGAATAAAAGCTGGTACTCCTCCATATGCCCAGCCAATGATGCCTGCTGAAAGTGCCGCTCTATAAATATTCTCAAGTTCCTTTGAAGGTCTCTCATGTTCACTAAAACATCAAAAAGACAATGTTTGGAGTTAGTTTATGGATACTGCTCTCTAAAAGACAGTATGATCAGAATTATCTCAAATGCTAAAACCACCACATTTTTCATTATGGGCAGAATCAATTAAATCCTCTGGTGAATTAAACAGTACAATTATATTACAAGTAGCTCAAATCTTAGCCCACACTAATCTATGCTGTAGACATCAGGCTAGTGGTTGGTTACTCTTGAGAAGGCAGCTAATGGAAAGGACACAGTGGTTTCTGGGATGCTGGTGACAATCTCTTGGTTACACAGCTATGTCTAGTTTGTGAAAATCCATTTATCAGTATACTAATGTACATTTTTCTAGATGCATATTACACCCCAACAAAAAGGGTTTTTTTAAGGTGCTCTTCTTTGATGACTATTACAACTCTACCATATTCCTGGAAACAGGAAGAATTTGTGAGTTGGATGTAGAGATCGATATTTCCCCTTTTGAATTTTAAGCTAACTTTTTGGAAATTACAAACGTATGGGGTTTTAGGACAATGTATGCAAGAATAAAATCCTGATGTAAAAAAATCTAAACCTCATCTTTCTGAATGCTTAACTTTTATGTCATGCTCAGATGGGCCTGTACTATAAAAAGCACTGAATGAGAAATCTCACTATGCATGGGCAGCACTGACCAACCCAAAATACAAGAAAAAACTACTGTCTATTCAATTTATTCCTTTCAAAAGCATAAGAAACTAGAACCACCAATGGTGATTCCAAGAAAATTGCTCTCATGAATAGTTAAGTTTGTAGGTATCAAGTTACTATAAATAAAGGCCCTCCTAGGTAACCACTAAATGCTAATTACTTACATTACTAAATTGCTTTCCTCAGAGATTGCACAAGTGTTTATCTAATTCTAACTGCCAATAACCACAACATTTCTGAAATCAGAATCAGTGAGTCTTTACAGTTCCTGCATCTCCAAGAGTGAAATCTAAATAAAATCTCTTATAAAACTATAATTCTTATACTTACGTAAATAAGAGAAACTGCTATAATTTGAATTTTATATTTTATCTTTTATAGCGAATAAGATCAAAAACATAAAAACTGGTCTATGGTAGAACTCAGAAAAGAGAAAAGGTAAAGGAGCTTAAGATTTACCAAGCCTGGAGATGCATATGCTTTGGCTCTTTTTCATCCTCTGAAAAATTCCACGACATAGGTGATATTTATCTCCGTTTATCAACATGGAATTGACGGCTCTAAAAAGTTATATAGTTGGCCCAAACACTAATGAATGATGAGGAAAGAGAACACAGTGGTGGAAAGGACCTAGATTATAGGTAACAATCACGGGGATGTGGTTCTGGTTCTGTCACTCACTGCTAGTGATCTACAGCCAGATCCCCATCTCTCTGAGCCTTGGTTTCCTCATCCACAACATAAGGAGGAGCGTGAAAGTTATACTTTCAAATTTCTTTAAACTCCAACATTCTGTGGTTTATAAAGGTAATCAAAAAACAACCCTCTTCCGTCATATATAATACAGGATGTTTCACAGGTATCTCAAATAGATATATTGGAAGGACCAATGAGAAAGGCTCCTGCATTATCTTAAAAACCAAGATGATGGAATCCAAATAAAGTCAGTAAATATAATTCTGCCAGTTCCCTTGTTTCAACTATCTCAGCAACATAACAAATCATCAAAGTTAATTTAACCACTTGATAACACAGTGTAGTATGGTAAAGTATTCATGAAAGGGCAAACTTCTCACCAGTAATTGATGAATGAATAAATGATGAAATGAATGAATGAAGTATCCTGAATTTTTCATAAAAGTTCATTTAATTTGAAGGGTTATCTTTTATTCTGAAATATGCTTATTTGTGAATCCAGTTAACATCCTTTCTTTTATAAGGTGATGAAACAATAGTTGCCACTATTTTTCATATATTCCTTATTCGGTAGAAGAAGAATTTTACAACTCACTCTGCCATCTCTCCAACCTCCATTCTTTTGGAGGGGAGGGGGGGCTACTGGTCATGAAATATCAAAGTTTGGGATCAAGCGAAATATGAAAAAGAATACTGGAGTGGAATCCTGCAGATGTGGGTTCCAGGGTCAATTCTGACACTAATTAGCTTAGTCTAATTCTTCTAATCTGTAAAATCAGGAGATTACACTAAGACTACATTCCCTAAATATCCCTTAGAGGTCTGGCTTTCAATCAATCTCGCCCCTAACATTTGAAAACCGGCCTGTCCATCAACAGAACTACCAAATGGCAAGGATAACAGCTTGGGGTACAAATATTAGAACCCCAAAACCCACTTAAACCACACCACCCTGGGCTCCTCTGGCCCAGGATGACCCAGGTTTCAGGACATCTCCTTCGCAGGCCCTCCCCACAGACCCTGGGCACGTTTACTCTTTGACAAACAGCTCCCGGAGGCGGTCCCATCCGGATTCCGGGTAATGGGGTTCTGGGACGTAGGAAGGCAGTTTCCGGTCCTCCGCAAGGGCCTCCGAATCGGCGGCCACAGCTCCCGCAGCAAAGACCCGAGGGAAAGGACCCAACGCCCTACAAAAGAGGCACCGTGGCGCCGGCGGCCGCACCTCCATGGCCCTCTCCGAACCTGCAGGCATGCACACACTTGGGCGCTCAGGACCCCAGGGCCTCCCAGGGGCTCGTGGGAGGACAGTGAAGATAACTGCAAGACTAACTGGGTAAGTACCCGTACGCCAGGCCCCAGCTAATCTGCGGCCAGACCCGCTGCCACAGAGCCAAAACCTCGCCCTCGGGCCGCGGCCTCACTTTGGAAGCCCTGGGCTACATGAGACAGGAAGTCCCGCCCCCACCAGGGCAAAGACCAGGGGCAGGCGCGAAGGCGGAGCCCGAGCCGAAAACACTTCCGGTTGGAGGCAGGACTCACCTTAGAGGTGCCTGACCCGCCCCCGGTAGTTAGTTGGCGGCCAGTAGCATCGCTCAGTGCCGTCTATCCCCGCCTCCGGCCCCGTGTGCCTGCGCCTTCTGGGCCACGCAAACCGGGTGTCGCGCGCGTTCCCGTCGGCCGGACGTTGTCAGGGGTTCAAGTAGTTTAGTATATTTAAAACGCCAGAAACCCCACATAGGTGAAGGAGAAAGTGCAGTATTTAGTACAAGTGGAGTACAGAGAGAGGGGAAGGCAATTTGCGCAAATACCAGCCCAGGCCTCCCTGTCACGGTACGAGAAGCCTTCCGGGCTGGCTGGGGTCCGTCCCGTACTCGTTACGTTCCGGTTGCTGGAAAGGACCGAGGCGTTGAAAATCGGTTTTAGTGCCAGTTACACCGAGATTTCCAGAACACTTTTGAAGAATCAGCTTTGGATTCTTCAAGATGGATTTTACTCCCCTCAGTTCATATGCCTGCTGTTTCTCAAAAAGCAGGACGATTTCTGGAATTTCTATCAAGTGTGTGTTTGATAGTCCAGCCATAATTTCCCGTCGCTACAACCTCTGCTAACATATGTTTCGAAGTATAGTTATTAATAAAATACAAGCATTTAAAATATTCTCAAGCTGATTTGTGCACTTTCATTTAATCTTTGCTAGCAACCATAGTTTCTTAGTCTCTTTGCCAATCTCCACCCCCGCCTTTGTTCCTTTCTAGATGTAATTCAAAATTGCTACATTCTTTAGTAGAATACAGTAAATAGAATTCTGGAATTTGAGAGCTGGAATTCTGTAGATAAGGCCCAGAGAAGTGATTGGCTAGAATGACTAGCTGAATTAGGGACAGCGCCAGGAAGATTTCTCCCGTGTCTGGGAGACAGGATTAGATTCAGCTCCCATCATAGCCTTTACTACATTGTATCACAATTTCCTATTTGCCGATGTGACCCAGTAGACTAACTTTAAGGTCAGAGACCACGTATATTCATCCCTGTATTTCCAGGACCCAGCACGGTGTCTGGCATGTAGGTTGTTGAATGAAAAATTCAGATCCCCTGACTCCTGGCTCTGGCTCCAGGTTGCTGTTTATCCCATATAGTCATAGGTGGGCACCAGGAGAAAGTCCCAAGCCCAAGAAAATGGCTGTGCAGTCTGTTTAGTCTACACGTAGAAAAAGCCTGATGCTTAAGATGACCCCAAAATCATTCTGGGATGAGGGAGGACTTGGAATCCGTGGGCGGGGGTGTCAGGCAGATACTAATGAAGTCATTTATATTCAACTCAGATGTCCCCAGGATTCACTACCCTATATGGAAAAAATGAGATTATATTAACAGGCAAATTTCGCTAACTCCATAGCTTCCTTCTTTGGGTAACCGGAGCCTCATTTGTAAGGTTTCCTTTACTATCTAGTACCTCGAAAAGTACCCAGACCCTTGGCCCCTGCTCACACTGTTGCTACTATTCTATCTCAGCTCCTCAGACTACCTGCTTCTGTCACTCTCCCACACTCCAAGACCCCCGGGCTTCTTTTACTACTAGGGAATTACTCGCCCTCCTCCGTGGTCTGCTCTTTCTGAAGGGTCTCAGAGCAACACTAAGCCAAAAGATGTTATGAGGTTTGCTTGGACTGTTTCACATACAGCTCTCTCCTCCCCAGGACGTGCATTTGCCACCGTAAAGGCATCAGGGAAGGATTTCAGGGCAGTCACCACACTGTGCCTGGGACCACCATTCTCCTATCCTCAGCCCTTGTTGCTGAGTTCTGCTCATAGAACCCAATAGCTTCTTCCTCCATCATGAATTTTCTCCCCGGGGTCAGAAGGTTCCCTTTCCCTGCCAGGTTCACCAGGTACTGCTCTTGCTACATATATTACATTGTATTATATTGTATACAACATAAACTGTTTCCACAGGGAGAATGAATTTTGAACTCCAAGGACCACTTCATTTAACCCATCTCTCAAAGCATAACTCAATTTTTACCTCTGTGAAGTTTCCCATCTGCCGGATGGAAATTTCTTCTTCCACTAAACTCAAAATCCACACTGTTTTGATGAATAATTGGCTTTATGATTAAGGCCTCGTGTCGCCTTAATTATCTTCTACCTATGATGCTTCTCATCATGTTGTTTACTTTATCATCTCAACTACAGAGCTCCTTGAGGCCAGCAGCAACATTTTCTTATCTCCCTCTGTGCACAGTAGATGCTCAAGAAGTATTTGATAAATATTAAGGGAGTAATTGTAATCGTACCGCTCTGCCTCACCCACAATACCTTCCCTCTGGATGCAGCAGGACTATCTTGAATGAAGGCATCTTCAGATGCATGGGAAGACAGGTTTTTATGTATCTGTGTGTGCTCTTGTTTGTAGTCAGTGTAGGGTTGAGGGTAGGGAACTATCCTCATTGGAGCAGACCCAAAGGAGCCCATTCAGTTTTCTTCTTTTGGGAATCTTGGCTAAGAGACAGCCTGGAGGTCTTTGGAACTGCACAAGCAGCACTCTAGAGATAGTCCAAAACTCTTGCTGAGATTCCTGGAGTTGACCTGCGTTTTACCCTTCCAACTGCTACAAAACTTGTTTAGTTTCTTCGAGATGCCCTCATATCGTTCTAATAAGTTCTTTTGCTTAAACTAGCTAGAGGTGGGGTCTGGTCTTGGCAACTAGGACAACCTGACCTAATACTGTAGAATAAGGTGGAATACTCACCACATCACACACACGATACTCCCCAAATAAAGAAAGGAAAAGCATTCCTCATGTTATCCATGTATCCCACTCCATTCAGATAAGAAAAATTATTCTCTTTCCTTGAAGAAAAGTGTAGCCTTTAGTTCTCTGAGGAAGAAAGGGTAAGTTTGGGACCCAGCTAGTGTTAACAACAACATGTAACAACAACCTCCAAAAGTTATGGGGGTAAAAATTATTTTCAAAAACATACATTTTACATGTAGTTACACACCATCCTCATACCAGCTACACTGAATTAAACAAATACGTATAAAATCTTAATAATATTTGCTGTATTTAAATACAAAAGTGCCCTTATTGACTCTTCAAAGGGCAGGTGAGAATTTGCATTGATCCAATTCTTACGGTCTTGTCCAGTCTTCCTTGGAGCCAACGGCTGGGCAATCTGTTAACAGGATCTAGTTAAACCAATTGTCTGTCTCTATCCATCCATCCATCCATCCATCCTTCCAACAATTCTTTAGTATCTACTCTGTGTGAGGCACTGTGCTAGATAATGGAGTCATCGAGATGACTAAATCATGATTCCCACCCATCAAGAAGCTCACAGAACAGGAGGAGAAACAGTCAAGTAACTGCAGTGCAATGCGACATCATATAATACAAGCATGAGCCAAATATTATGATAGCCCCTAACTGCCTCGAGGAATGAAAAAAAAGGATTCAGAGAGAAGATGATGCTTGAGCCAAAACTTGAAGCAAAATAGGAAACATTTCCAGGGAAATGCAGCTTCAGCTCCTAATCCAAAGGACAGCAAATTTTACTCCTAGTTTAGTGAGAGGAAAATTAACATACAGAGAGAATGATAACATCTACTAGGGCCTCATATTGACAAGCCAAACCACAGTACAACACAGAAACCTGGACTGCTTATCGCCAGACTCATAGCACCTGAGGACACGGTCCCCCTGAATTTTAATACTCAAAAACAAAAAATCCAACTTTAAACATCTGCCTTATTCCATGAAATGATCTTACCAGGAATATCCAGCTCCTCTAAGAAGGTCCTTAGGCTTGAAATTTTGTGGAAGGGAGTTTAAAAGGACAAGTATGTTTCTCACAAATGGAATAAAATCCCTGAT